GAGCGCGTCGATTCTCTACATAGTTCAGACAACCGTCGTGATGACGTAATGTTCAAACGACCGTCGTGATGACTACGCTAAGCCTAAATCAAATAGTAGTCAAAGCAACAATAATTTCAACAATTCTGCTAATTGAAACTTTGAGAAATTGAAATTGATTGAACTTATCTTGTCAAATCCACCCATATTAAATATAGAAAAAATTGACTTCTCATCATCAGAGTGCCGTGATTTTGGAGGCATATTTCGTTGAGCTCATTCAAACCTGTTCTTTAGATAGTTAAATATTGAAGGAAAAAAGTATAACGCAATTGAATTCAATTTTCAAAAGAAAATGAAAGCATGTACTGTGTAAATTGCTGTTTTTTTGGAAAATCGAAGAACAACTTATGTGAAAAAAGAGGATTCCGAAACTTCAACATGCCAAATCCTCCCTTAGTGAACATGAGCAGTCCATATAGCACTTTCATGTCATTGTCGCATTTTTATTTCGGAAAAAGTAATCAAAGGATATAATTAGTGTTTACCAAGCAATACCAGACTAAAAAAGAGTCTGGATCCAAGGTGACGAACAATCGAAGTTATTAAGCATCTCTCTTCTAGATTTGTACGTAATATATAGAAAATTTTAATACATAAATTTAAATTAATAGTTATAAATACTTTAATTGAATCATACTTACCACGTGATACCACTTATCACGTAATGATGCTGCTTAAATATTTTATTAAATCGAAAATAATTGGATATTTTATTTATTGTTCATTCTCAGCGGATTATCATTCCGCGAATCAGACAAAAACTAGTATCAATACGCAACCAAAACTTTATTGGATGTATTGAGCTATTAGCAAAATTTGACCTTTTCCTCGTCCAACTCATTACTCGATTACTCATGGAAACAAAGAAAAAGGAAGTACCTAGTACTTATCTAAAGACATTTGTGAAGAACTCATGCACTTGATAGCCACCAAGATTATGAAAGTTATAGATATTACGATCATCCTTAAGTAACTTGTTGTAGTATATATTTTTTATTTACTTCAAAAATAGTTTCTTAGTTAGTAAAATCAAAATTGCGAAATATTTTTCAATCATCGTTAATCCTTCTCTTGATGAGTCGACCAACTCTGCTTTATTTTGTACTATGTTTTACAAAACGTAGAACCAGTTGAACGGTTCTTAGCATTCATTCTCATGTATAATCATTTTGCAGTTTCTATGCTTGAAATTGTTTTAAAAAAATTAGATTTGTATGGGATCAACATTCAAAATTGCTGTAGCTAGTCATACGACAATGACAGTAATATGTCTCGGATCTTCTTGGGTTTACAAGCAAGAATTAAAATAATCAACGTTCTTGCAAAATACATTCCATGTGCTGCTCACCCTTTAAACCTCATAGGAGTAAGTGCCACGTAATCCAACGGAGCACCTGTTAATTTCTTTACCTCTCTTCAAGAAGTTATTTTTATTTTAAACCGCTTTTAAATAAATACTAAGAGACCAACAGGTGCCGGGAGGCCAAGAAGTACTTAACCCGGCCCTGACTACACCGAGTAGTTAAAATTAGTTTTTTACATTTTTACAATTTTAGAGTAGGAAATAAATTAAAATTCTTTTTATTCCAACATTTTTATTTAACTTTTTAATAAAGCAGTTAAGTAATATCTTACCTTATCACTAAAAATGTTTAACTAAAATTTTTCTGCATGATTTATAAACAAAGTTTTCTCGTCTGACTACCCAACAAATATATTTCACTTATTTGTTGGGTATTATACTTATTTGTTGGGTATAATACGAAATTTAAATATTCGTAATGCGCACGCGTAATGCGCACGTGTGCTCAGGGTAAATCCCAACTTGCATTTATAATTTAAATTAAATTGTTGTAAATTTCCTTGATTTATCCTTATTCAGAATGAATATATATTTGATTTAATATTGATTTTGAAACTAATTTTTTTTATTTTTTTTTTCATAACTCTTTAAAAATATTTATTCAATAACGTTTGTAGGCATCTTAATTTTGTAAAAAAGTCGATTGATTTTTTTTTACATTAAAGTGATTTGAAAAACAGCTTTTGTTTAGGTTTTTCACAATACTCAATAAAAACAATTGTTTACAATTTATTTAAAAACCAATTGTGTTTATAATTTTATTTCCCCTATTTCAATCTATCTTTTTAAAATAATGCTAAAACAAATTTTTTCTGTTCAAAATTAATTATTGAGTTAAATATTTTTGTAATCAAAACAATATTTTTATCACTCAATATATTCACTCCATTCAAATCTATTATTATTTATTACTATATGTAATAATAGATTTAAATGGACTAGTTAAATGGTTTCTATGAGTGGTCATGGTAACATTTGTTTTTCTTCATTGTGTTTGTCATTTTCTTACTTTATTGTTATTTATTTTGTTGTTATTATTGATGTTGAAAATCCATTTTCAACATCAATAAATCTTTTTCGTTTTTGTATGAAATTTTGCTATTATTATTAATATTTTATTTTTTTTGAAAATGCTTCTTCATTTTTACATATTGATTGAAAACGCATTCTAAATGTAGTTCGACCTGCTTTAGCTGCTAATCTTCACTCTTAGGGTTGTATCTTTTCCTCTTTTGATCTGGTACTATATCATATAGTGCCAGATCAATGCATATAGTTGTCACTGCATATGCAGTGCCATATATATAGCTTTTAGGCATATGAATAGTCGTCACCCCATAATTCGTAATTAAATAAAATAAGACCCATAAGCTCTATCATGATATGGCCTATAAGTTCCTTTGGAAAAATTTTATACAGAATTTAATGTCTAATTTAAACGGTTTGCTTGGTCTTTAGTTTACTTTTGTACTTCCTAATACCTCGAAATTCAAATGGTGGTGCCTAAAGAAATAAAATTGGTTAAGAATTTTTTTTAATTTAACTAAAAGTGTTGAGCTATTTTGAAAGAACCTTGAGCTTGAGTGCAATCTAAAAGTTTTAAAAGTTTTAAATTTTGGTTGTTATTGGTTACTGGGAAAACCCAAATGTAAAAACTGTCATTTGATTCTTAAATATTGTCTTATTTGTATGGTGCTTAGACAACTCAATGTCTAATAGCAAAGTAAAACCATAGGATAAGTGAGAAATGCCTTGATTGAAAAATAACAAAAATTTTGAAACAAATAAGAAAATGACAAGATAAAAAATAAAATAACATTAAAGTTATTAGTTAAAAGTTTTTAAAGCTCAATCATTTTTCTAATACACAATAAATTATTTGAGGCTGAATTTAAATAAAACTTTAGGCTTCTGAATAAAATGTGTTACTATAGTGTTTACCATAGCGGTAACAGTTTTTTAATTTCCTAAAACAAAACAGATATAAAAAAAGTCTGCACTTTTAAGGATTAAAGTTATTTTAATTTTTATTGACAATAAAATCAATAACCTTGTTGTGCTCAAACCTGTTCATTAAAACATACACAGTTACTGCCAAGTAACTTGTTTATGAGTATGGGTTTATCTCTGCCTTAGTTGATGTACATGTGCACATATATTAAAAAAAAGGTTTGAAATTATTTATGAAGGTTTTAGTTTAAATAAAATATTTTTATAAAAATTTTAACCAACATAAGTTTTTGATTGTGTTCAGGTTTTTCCCAAGGAACTTTCTACTCAAGTTACCCTTTAGCAGAAGGAAATAAACAGTTTCTTGACTAAGATATTTCAAGTATTTTTCAAATCAAGATGTTGCAAAAAAAAATAGATCATGTTAATCAAGATTTGCAACTGCTTAGAACAACTTTAACATTGATGAATTTTAATTTGATTAATAATATTTAAAAAAAGTTTTATAATCATTTATTTTTATTTTGTTTTGATCATGGGTTACTTAGTGGACTCAAGTTTTGATCATGGGTTACTTAGTGGACCATTAGTCGCAGCTGCCAAAAATTGGCTAGCCAATGTTTAGTATGTTAATATGTTGGAATTTTTAATATGTTGGAAAGTTATCAGCTGGCCATTTGTAGCAGCTGCCACTAATGGTCCAATATGTAACCGATCAGTAAAATTTCAATGAACCGCCTATATTGATCCGTTATAACAATATTTTCTGGGAATTAACTTACAATACTTGAAAAATGAATAATGTTAATTTTATAAAACTTTATTTTAAAGAAAATTTTTTAAAAAATTAAAGTTTAAATTGTTTTAATGGTCTATACATTAAATGATTTATATATTAAACTTTCAAATTTCATTAAAATATTTTCTTTCTGTTTATAAAAATAATTATATGCTTACATAAAATGTTAGTAATAATTTTTTAAGCAATTATAGTTTTGTTTTTTCTCTATTTTGGTATGAAAGTAGTTCTATTTTATATAATTGGTACATTTTCTCATGTAAAGTGCACCCATACTATTATTACCTCAATTTTCTACTCTTACTAATATACAAACTGAAGTTATAAAATGTAGAATATCTTGCGAATTAAGTTCACTTTTACTGGTTACTTAATATTTACACATCATCATGTGGCAGGATAGCTCAGTTGGTTAAAGGGTTGAACAAAAAGTTTAAACCCAGATTGTTGTGAGACACGAGTTCAAATCCTGCCACTGTCAACTCAGCGCTTGAGTAGTACTTCGGTACGCAAAAATGTTGGTCAATATGCTACTTTGAATTAGTCTTAATGACTGTTTGTGGTTGTTCCTATGCTAAGCCAACAATATCTTCGGATATAAGAACATTGTATAGAAAAATATGACATGAAAATTCAAATTAAAAAAAAAAATTAAAATTAAATTACTAAGTGGGTCTATATCAATATCTAACTCAGTATACAAACATAATCAAGTCTGTGTGTATAGTATTATAGACACATTATTAATGATTCACTTTTCCCATAAATCATGCTAATTTTCTAATTGCAATATTTATTCTTTTAATGTATTGAATGAATATTTGTATTTTTTATATATTACTTTAGACTATATCAACCATAAAGAAGAGTTTGCAATTACTCATGGTTTTTTGTTGGTTTATTTTTTTTTTTTACTTT